CCAGAGTGGCCTTTTTAATATAATGCTGAAGTCATTTTTCCAGAGTTGCCTATATAGTTTGCTTTTTTTATCCTTTCTTTTTTGCTTTGCTTATCTCATGATCTGTAACTTCTATTCGTACAGCCATATTCTTTATATAAGAAAACCATATTGGGTAAAGAAAGCAAAACTCAGTTCTATTAAAGAGTTATTATAGTTTGGTGCAAAAGCAATTGCGGTTTTTGCCATTAGGCAAATTGTTCATTTAGTTTTTTTATGCCTTAAAAACTACTTAACCAATTTAACATTTTTTTTTCTTTTTAAAGTTCATTGTAAAGGACTCTGTTGAAGAAAATATGCTGAAAATACAAAACAAAAAGAGAGAACTTGCAGCAGGAGCCTTTGGAACTAAAAAACCAAATGCTGACGAAATGAAACAAGCCAAAATTAATGAAATCAGAACATTAATTGATTTATAATTTGTGGGATTTTAGTAAGGTCAGTTTGATTGGATACTTAAGTTTTAGAAATGAGAAAAATACAGTTTTAGAAATGAGATCTAGAGAACATGTCTTCTAAAAGGGGCATATTGTTTTATATTAGTGAAGAGGTATTACTGACACAATTTCTTCTATATACGAACCTATTTTTAATGAAACTTCAAATAGCAATAAGTTCTCTTATATACTGTGGCCTAAAATAATTTTTTGAGAAAAAAGGTTACTTTGTTATTTAGCTTTTCATAGCATCTATGCTGAGTATTTTCATATATCTTCCAAGTACTCAGCTTTTTCGTATTTCAAATAAGGTCAGACCTTTTATACTTTTGACCAAATAGTTATTTTCTATGTTGGACACTTAGTTATTTACCAAAGCCTCCAATTTGTGATGCAGTGTTTGTAGTCCTTGCAAACAATATATACAGACCATACAAGAATTAATTTTATTGGGCTTTCAAAAACCGTATTTGCATTCCAGAACCAAATCTTAAATGAGACCAAAGTCCAGGTTAGCACAGGTTTTTATTTTTCCTACAGCTACATTGAGATATAATTCACATACGTGACTTGGAGTTTTATGTTCATGAAAAAATTAGGGATTATGTTAAGAGTACTATTTTTTCCATTTTAGTTAAGTAGTACTACACTCATTGTTTAAATGTAACTTGCTGTGTCTAGGGTGTAAATATAGTCTGTGGGAGTGAGAGGCAAACCAATCCTACCCAATTTGATTTGAATATTTTAAATTATGGAACTGCTAAATAGATATTTCTATAAATAGGTAATTTTTATTTATGTAGCTTTTTTTGGAAGTAACTTTATAAATTTTTATAATTCAGAAGACTACTATATGTGAGAGGCGTGATATCTGGATGGAAGTTGGGCTGGATGATCTCCAAAGTCGTTTCAACTCTTAAAGACATCTTAATCCTGAATGTAAAAAATTGTTGTGTTTAGAATCAGAATTTAATTTTGAACTTAAGTAATTCATCCTTACATCTATCCGTAGAGACTATCTTTTTTTTTTTTTTTTACTTTTTTGTTAATAAGCAAACTTATTTGCTGCAGAATTCTGGGTTGACTCCTGAGCATATTTAAAACAAACAAGCTAGAAATTTAGCAGTCAGATTAGGTAGGTGGTTTTATTTCAAAGGGAAACTTTAATCCAAAGATTAATTACTCTAACAAGAGAAGCTTCATGTTTGATGATACAGATGTAAGAATACCTGAGACTTTACTTGGAGTGTTGGAAGTGATTTGATAGAAAGATGAGATCAGAGACAATGTTGTGTTATAGGGCGCACATTGAAGGTATATGCCAAATCTCTCACCATCTAAGTCCTTTTCTCCCTGTGCCCTGTTTTTTTGCTCAAAGGGAACAGTGAATTAGCCAGCTAGAATCTTCCTGGTCCCTTTTTGAGGCGGTAGCAGGTAAGGAACGGGCTGATTTTCATCAAAACCAAGACCTTTCTACAGGGATGATAGTGGAATAATAATTTGGGATTAGCCCACTGGCATTAGGAGCAGTAGGGAAGTTACCTGGTAGATCAAGCATTACACACAAAAAAATCAAGTTGATCAGAGTATGGGTTCTCCATATAGCAATACTTCAGTGAGATTAAGTATAAACAGTTTTTGGCAAAAAACAACACAATCTACTCTTCCTGCTTACAAAGACAAAGCCTTACAAACTCACTGTGAAGGTAAAGGGAGGACAGCTTACTTCTTTGCCCAGATATTTACAAAGTTGTTTTTAAAACACACTCATAAGTTTGGCAATTTGTTTAAAAAATGTCTTGTTTTGTACAGTTCTGTTAGATGTTGTTAAATTTTAAAAAGTTTAATTAAAAAAATTTAATTTGTCCTTCCTAAGAAGGATAAATATATAAAAAAGCCACTGGAACGTAAACTTCCTATTATGCTATGCTGTTTTATTATTACATAGAAAAATAACTTTAGAAAAATATTGAAGACATTGTATTACCAGTTGTGATTCAAACAATTTTGTGGTTAAAACTGGATTTTAAATTTAAAAATCAATAAAAATTTCAAATGTTTATTACCCTCCTTGGTGCCATAATTTTGACTTTATTTTCAAATAAAATAAATCCTTCATTAATAGTGACCTTTCTATGCAAGTGTTACGTTTTTATTGAGAGTACACGAAGATTACTGTAACAGAATAATGTACTCATATCCTACCTTTATTTTACTCAATTTAACTGGCTGAAATTCTTGTTCAGAAATCAGAGTGCTTATTTAAAATGGCTTGATCTAAAAACATTGGTCCCAATTAATTTCCTCATCTGGAAGAAAAAAAGGAGTTGTGATAATACCTATATACACACAGATAGCACTCTGAATCACTGTATATTTTGTCCTTAAAATTACAGCTCTAGAATTGGAAACAGAAACTAACCACATGCAGTTTGTTACCAGTGAGTACTAATGAAATTATCTTCGGCAGTGTGTGCTGTTTTGGGGAATGGCAAATACATTGCTGTATTTTTTTCTTGTTTTATTTATAGTACTTGCCAAGATTTATGCATTAGCATTTGGATGAGCTTCATTAAAAATATAAGGGCACATTTGATGTTTGGCTTATAACAACTCAAATGTTTAACCTCAAGTTTTTAACACATTAACTTCAAAATATCTGCAAAATGTGTTATACAGCAGGACAATATGGGTATAAGGAGAATTAAGGTAAATATTTACTTTATGTTCCACCATGGAGCTAATCTCCAAAGGCGTGGATTTGACCTCTGTTGTGGGTAAGTTTGTCTTAAAATCAAAGGTCATACCTACCATTGCAAGGGGATAAATATATATGGATCACCTCTGCAAATATAAATCTTGTTACTGTTGCCTTTTTATACATTTTACTAAGTTACTGTTGAGTTTGAGTTACTGTTGCTTTATACATACTAGTAACCCTTAGTATTCTGGACTCCCTAGAAAAGATTTTCCAATATTTGTATAGCTTTATATGGAAAAGTTAATACTTCACCTTAAGACATAGATCATAGAAGGAAAAGAATGTTTAGTTCAGTGACTTTCTAGCCAAATAACTGAACAGCATTATATGCTATGTCTTATGGCAAGCTTGTCATTCTTTCTGATTCCAAAAGTTAATAGCCTTCACTACTTATTTGAAATTTAAAAATTGGCTGGGCGCAGTGGCTCCCGCCTGTAATCCCGGCACTTTGGGAGGACAAAGTGGGTGGATCACGAGGTCGAGATTTGAGACCATCCTGGCAATGTGGTGAAACCCTGTCTCTACTAAAAATACAAAAATTAGCTGGGTATGGTGGTATGTGCCCATAGTCCCAGCTACTCAGAAGGCTGAGGTAGGAGAATCTCTTGAATCCAGGAGGCAGAGGTTGCAGTGAGCGGAGATTGCGCCACTGCACTCCAGCCTGGTGACGGAGCAAGACTCCGTCTCAAAAAAAAAAAAAAAAAAATTAAAAGTTATGTCAGCTTTTCACCTTAGAGCTTCATTATGCTACTGTGTAAAAATTAGAGAATGAACGGGGTAGTAAATAGAAAAAACGCTGAATGCATATTGAATGTCCACAAAAATAAGACATTTTTTATCTGAAGACTGTGTTTCTGTTAATCTTAACCAGGGACTCGGAAGCCAGAAAGACCTCCGACTAGCTAAAATTATTTTGAGAAGTCTCTGTGCCACAGCACCTGACACATGGAGGCACTTCAGTCAGTCTTCGGTAAATGCTTCATTGTACTTGAAGATCAATAGTGACTCATTCTTCACCAGTCCAAATAGCTAGTTTATTTTCAGAAGTCATTTATCATTTAATATTTTATAACTCTAGGTAAAGCCTCAGGTTCTTCTTGAGCTCCTATGGTAACAGCCTTCAAGGTGGCCCCAACCATTCTTGACTTAAGCTGTCTATATGCTTGTATGTTAATTCACATCAATATGAGTAAGGAGGGTGACCTTGAAGGCTAAGTCACAAAAGCTATGCAGCTTTTGCCCAATCAAACCTCTAAAGTTTCTTCCTGTCATGGTTAACTGTCCTGTTTTCTTCCATAGAATCATTTCTGACCACTCATTTTAGTTTTAAAAGGTCATCTTGGATCCTACCCTTCTTTAGCTTGCCATCTCTTACAACCTAGGATGATCTATAAATTTAATAAATACGCTTTTCCATTCCATCATTTTAAATCATTGATACAACACTAGTAGTGATGTACTGATTCTGACAGTTAGGAATAACTTTAAAGGTTAAAATATTCTAAAGAGCTAAATACCCATAATAGGGAGGTGCAGTATGAATGACACGATGTAAGTTTGATCTCAGTTTGTTCTGTCAGATCCATCACCATCACAGAAAAACAATTAGATTGAAATCATAGATACCAGTTTTTAAAGCATATATCCCAATGTTAAGCTACACTTTTTTAAGACTATGACAAATTCCAAAAATTATGAAAAATTCCCTAATAGATTTGTTCAAGGGTGTGGTAAGATTCCTTAATTTAATTCAACAACCAAGATACAGCAGTAAGTCTTTATTTTTTGTACAGGGTGCCACCACAGGTAACCATCAGAGAACACGCTGCTATTTTCAAATATACAGAACTGAACAAAAGCATTTTAGCATGCTGCCTTACTGTACATAGAAAACTGGTGAGCATCTTCAGACACTAAGACCAGGAAATAAAATGGGTTAAAGGTATTTGCTGATACGTTTATGAATCACTCAGCAGTGTTAATATAGCTTATCTTTACCTGAAAGCAGAATTACACTCACTCACTGGCAGCACTGGGCAATTCTAAGATTCAGGTCTCGTGAAAGGTAGGCACAACCAACAAGCAAGCAAGGAACAGATGCCATGTCTGCTTCTGAAGGGAGGGACTGACTTTGAAGCAGGCTCTGCAGATTTTAAGAATTGATACAGCTGTCTTAATAGCTTAATATTGAGTTTTCCTTACTTTGTATGTTGGCAGTCAACAAAAGAATTTCTGAAACAAGCTAAATAGGATTTTAAAGCAGAACACTGTCCATATAACAGAATTGCTGCTTCACAACTTTTGCCCAGTTCTCACCTCTTATCCTAAAAAAACCTCTCATCTGATAAGTTTTAATGAAAACCTCTAGCAACTGTAACAGACTTTTTTCAACCCAGCTCTAGATACTAAGTATCAGAAACAAGGCTTGTGAAGTGAATGTGTTCACAGAAAAATGCAGTGTTTCTACTGGAGGTAAGTGTCAAGTTTCCTCTTGATGTTGTCAAAGGAATCTGCTCCCATATAATCAGCCTGGCCCTGTTCCCATCGCTCCTTCCGTTCTTCCGAGGATACAAATGGCTGTGCCATAGCTGGGATCTCCCCAAGGGACAGATGTGATATGGCTCCTGAGACATCTTCCTAGAAAGGAAAGCATAATTGACTCTATGAGAGCTGAAAATCAAACTGTTTTAAAGAATGCAATAAACTGAAGACAGTGAGAAAAGCCAGGATGAATCATGCAAAGTAGCAAAAACTGAAAAGTATTACATGAAACAAACAAAAAAGACACAAAAATATAAACATTATATGATTTTTTCCTAACAAAATGAAGACTTCTTGACTCAGTGAAAACATTGGGAGAACAAAGTAATTAGGGTTAATGTTTAAGTTCTGCATACCTTTCTACAGAAGCCACAAGAGAAAGCCAGTGTATAGACCAAGTCTGAAAGCTGCAAACAGTTCATTAGAAAGTGTAAGATGGATGGGCAAGGGAACACAAAGTCTCAAGATAAATTCTCAATCTGTGTGGGCTCTGAAAGGTTGAGAACTTAAACAAAATGATACCCCAACAGGCTACATTTCAGAAAGAACCTAACTAGAGAGCCGCAACACATACTCAGTTATCACATTGTAAGAAGGAAAGTTAAACTGGTTTGAGACTAGGTACCAAACTTCTCTGCTTGTTCAAGCTTTCATTTGGATTACCAAGTAGCATCTGTTCATTTAATTTACTTAATTTTGAACATCTTTCAATTCCCATCTTCACCTTTCCTTGGTTCATAATTCCAGCCCTCATATTGCAGAAGGAACAGGGTAAGATGTGCAACAAACAAAGCAGACCTAGTCTACATTAAATTTGATTCTCATTACATGTACATGGGTGATCAACTTCACATGTACCACAAATTTACCAATGCTATCCTTCAAAAAGTACTAAGGTGCAAAGGTACTGGAAATCTTAGCAGAGAAAAAGGAAGGTAAATGAATACAGACAAGCATTGCTTTTAACAGAGAAAATGGTGGAAAAAGTGTTTTGACTGTTTTTGTTACCATATATATGTAAGCATATAGGTATGTATTTAAATTCAGTGGAACTTTAAGGTGTTTGGGTCTATAGGATTGCATTATAGCTGAGGCAACATAAGGCCTTCCATTGGATAGTCCTGCCTTTGCCTTGTACTTGGCAACAGTAATGATACAGAGGCATTCCAGAGTCCTCTGTTCACAATAGGGGGGCTGTGAATTTATACCCTAAAAGAGAGGCCCCTGAGGTCAGGCCAAATACACTGGACATAACTTAAAATAGTTTAGCATTTAAAGTGTAACTCTCCCTTCACCTGCCATAAAAGGTACTATCTTAATTCTGGGCTGTAGATGGCTACTTTTAAGCATAGTCCATCTCAAATTTTCATAAGGATAAGTCTCTTCAGACCTGGGTTTGAAGCCCATTCTGCTACTTGACTAGTCTGTTACACAACTAAGACAAGTTATATAACTTCTTTAAGCTTTGGTTAATTTACCTATAAAAGGAGATATTAATAATACTTAATATACTTAACAATACTAATAGTACTTAATATAGTGGTTTTAAGGGTTAAGAAAGGGTAACTTTCATTAAGCATTTACGATGTGCCAGGTGGTTTTAAGTACTGCATGACAGGGGTCCCCAACCCCCAGGCCACAGACCAGTAGTGGTCCATGGCCTATTAGGAACCAGGCCGCACAGCAGAAGGTGAGTGGCAGGCAAGCAAGAATTACCACCTGAGCTCTGCCTCTTGTCAGATCAGAGGTGGTTAGATTCTCATAGAAACATGAACTCTTATGAACTGTGCATGCAAAGGATCTAGGTGGTATGCTCCTTATGAAAATCTAATGCCTGATGATCTGAGGTGGAACAGTTTTATCCCACAACCATCCCCCATACTGGTCCATGGAAAAACTGTCTTCCACAAAACCAGTGTCTAGTGCCAAAAAGGTTGGGGACCACTGCTGTACAAATATTATGTCATGATCCATATAAAGCACTCAGAGTAAGAATGCAAGTGTTAGTTCTTTCTCCCTTTCTCCTTTCTATATCTTAGTAAGTGCTAGTAAGTGAAATGGCTAAAATCTGTACCACAGAAAAGCAAATAATCTCTTATGATCTCCCCATTCTGTTCTCTTATTTATATCTGAATATGTAACAGTTTCATTCCTCATCCTCCTCCAATTCTTTCATAAGAACAAACCTCAGAGAAGACCTTTAAAGTGAGAAAATATGCTAAACAGGGTTGTTATAAATGTTAACATGTCATCTCCCTCCTACAAAGATATTTCTTTTTCAAGATCCTATAGTAATCTTAGGAGTACAAACATAGGAAATAAAAATAATCCTACAAAAGTATTTACTGTATGTTCATATTGTGATTTTCACTGAAAACACATTCTTCTAAGCAGATGGCAAATATAAAGTAGATACATCTAAATGTTTGCAGTTCCTAAAACATTCAATGGGGTGTTATTTTTATAGACCACTACTTTAGGAATAATCTAAAAATCTTTTCAGAGGAGAATGGGCTAAGAATTCTAGAGTTAAAATATACGGGTATATATAGAAAATTCTTAAAAAACTATGTTCTCGGATCTAAAGAAATCTGCCACACAGTTTATTTCTGCTACTTCTTGCTGGGAATGTTTCTCCCCTCTAAGATGGTTACCATTTTCTTTCCACAAAATTTTATTTATCTCTGTTTAAAATGCTGCTAAATATTCCATGTCTCTATTGATACAACAAGTTTTTAAAAAGCAGCATTAAATGATCTGAAGAAAAGAAACAGAACCTACCACATTTACATATGAGCAGGTGTCTTTGACAAGGCCAAATTGTTGAAGCAGAGGTAAAACGTTGGTGGTAAAGATGTTCCACCACAGGATGAGAAACTCTGGATGAGTCATGTTCGGATCATGGGCCTCACTTTTGACACTTTTTGTTTTGGGATCATAAGTATAATTCCATGGTTTGACTCGTCCCAGGAAATGCACAACTTTGGCACTTGCACCAAACCTGCCAAGTGAACGCAAGTTGAAACAGTTAGTGGATTCTGAGTACTGACAGAAAGATAAGCAGCACTTTTCTGCAGCTGTCTTTTTATTTTTTTTAAAAGAGAGTGTCTCACTCTCAGGCTGGAGTGCAGTAGCATGAGAGCTCACTACAGCCTCTAACTTCCCACCTTTAGGCCTCCTGAGTAGCACAGGCCACCATGCCTAGCTAATGTTTAATTTTTTTTTTTTTTGTAAAGACAGGCTCTTGCTATGTTGTCCAGCCCGGTCTTGAACTCCTGGCCTGAAGCGATTTCTCCTGCCTTGGCCTCCCTATTCTATGGCCTTAACAGCGTACTTTCCATCCTGCAGTAAGGGTTCAAGATCAAACTGAGTTCACTGTGACACTGTGAGACAGATACTTTTAAAAGTACTTACTCAGCTGTGTGTTATGTTAAATACATACAAAAAATGTAAATGTAGTATTGGTTCGGTGCAACACTGAAGCACCAATCCATTGTGGATAGAACAGGCACACTACTTGGAAAGTATTTGGTATTACCTAGTAAAGTTAAAAATGCTCATGCTGTACAATCCAGCAGCTCAGCTCCTAAGCATATACACTAAAGAAATGCTTGTGTATGTGCAACAAGAGATATAATCAAAATGTTCACAGCAGCAGCAGCACTGTTTGAAACAGTCAAAAACTGGAAACAACCCAAATGTCTGTATTAGATTTTTGCTCAGCAAGTATACATTACTCCCAGCCTCATCGGGGGAGGACACTTTCCCACCTGATGTTGGACGTGTCCTATGGCTTGACTTGACTAAGACAATATGAGCAGAAGTGACAGTGTGCCTTACAGAAGCAATGCTTATTTCTGTTCACCCTCTGAGAAGTTAAAACTTCTGCCAGCAGAATATGCCTGGGTGCTTGCTGGTTCCAGAAAAAAGAAACATGGAACAGATCGGGACCAAACCTGTAGCCTAGCTCCAAACTCTGCTGAGATCATCAGAGCTGTCCTAGCCAACCCACCAACATATAAGTAAGAAATATTTGCTTATTGTTGAAAATGACTGAGACTTTAGTTATACAGCCATCTTTTTTAAAGGAAAAGTTCTGCTATATTCATAGCATGGAATACAATCTAAAATGAATGAACTATAGCTATATACATCATGCAGCAAAAAGATGAATTTTTAGAACATTTATGTTGAAAAAAGCAATGGGTCAAACAATTACATATATACGATTCCACTTACATAAAGGCAAAACAGGCTGGGTACAGTGGCTCATGCCTGTCATCCCAGCACTTTGGGAGGCTGAGGCAGGCAAATCATGAGGTCAGGAGATGGAGACCATCCTGGCCAACATGGTGAAACCCTGTCTCTACTAAAAATACAAAAATTAGCTGGGTGTGGTGGCACATGCCTGTAATCACAGCTACTTGGGAGGCTGAGGCAGGAGAATCCCGTGAACCAGGGAGTCGGAGGTTAGAGTGAGCTGAGATTGCGCCACTGCACTCCAGCCTGGTGACTCTGTCTCAAAAAAAAAAAAGGCAAAACAAGAAAAAAGGTACTGTTTAAAGATCAGAAAACTATAATCAATGTAAATTTAATGATGCTGGTTACCTCTGGGGGAAAGGTGAAGCTATCATTGGGAAGGGACAAAAAGAGGTTCTAAGGCACTGGTTGTGTTCTATGTCTTAACTTGGGTGACATTTTTAAACAATACACATTTTTAAATATGTATTCTTTTGTATATATGCTCCATTTCACAATAAAGAATATCTTTAAAAGAGTAGGAGTAAAGTGTGGTCCTGTTCTAGCTGGGAGGAAATCTATGTATATAAAAACAAAAAACAAACGTGAATGTAACAAGAGTCAAAGCAAAAATAGGAACAGTGAGTGCTCAGGAATTCACAGCAGGAAGGGCACTATCCAGCTGCAGCGGGAGCAGAGGTGCTAAGATAGTGGGATGTGACTTCAAGCTTATACAGCAGATGTGATCCGGGTAGCTGATGATATTGTAGGGAATTCCAGGCAGGCAACGGCAGGTATCAGGTGAGCACCTGTGTGCTTGACCAGGTATCCTCTGTGAGAGCCAGAGAGGAAGCTTTGAGTAGGGAAAGAAAAGTAAAATGGGACAGAACCTCAGGTACTGGGCTCAAGTGTTAGATTTCAGTAGATTTATACTACAGGCAACCAAGATACGTGAGCATGATATACTGATCAAAATAATACAAACTCATGTAACCCTTCCTATCCCCTAAAGTTTATCTAAAAAAAAAAAAAAACACTTAGGAACCGGTTAAAAAGCTATCATCAGAGTTTACTATATTTGGAGACCAAATTCTTTAAGGATATGATGGGGAATAATAATATTTCTACAAGGTAAATCTTACCAATGTGTTAACTGAGGCTGTGAGAGACTGAAGTGAGATGCCCAAGGTCACACAACTATTAAGTGTTAGAGATGGGGTTTGACGTGGTTTTACCTCTAAGGCATGAGCACTTACCATCCTACCATGCTGCTGCTGCTCCAAAAAGCATGCAAGAAAAATATAGCCTATTTGTAAAGCTCCTTCCTCTTAAGGTTAATTGATCATTCCATGGTTTGTTTCTTCTGATAAATGAAGAGGATATTTGGTATCCCCAAGCTTACTCTTTATTTTATACACATAGTATATGTAACACACACAACCCTCTTGCTCTATTTAATCCTTAAAAGGATAAAAAGAGTAGGAGTAAAGTTTGATGCCCAAATTTGTGCACAGATAAAGCTATCGATTAAATAAGCAACTGTTAGGCATATGGCACTATGCTCACTGTGTGGCCCCAAAAGGCTTTTGTTCAAACAGGAAGATGGGTCATCTGCATAAAAATAAGCAAGGTGACAAGTTGGGGCTATCAGGGCAGTACTGACATTAAGGGCTACTGAAATTCCAAAGCAATGAATGCAGGTGGGATTTTCAGAGGTGGCTTTATGCAGGAAGTGGGGGCAGGGACAATGCATGGAAGAGTCAGATGACTGCCTTCAACAAATGTTCTAATGAGGATGGGGGAACCCATCACACAGCTCTGACTCCTGTGTTGCAGAGTGGAGGGAAGGCACTGCCCCATCCTAGCAATATAAACCCATAAGCCTAAAACCGAAATAGAGCGCATAAGAATGAGATATTCCTTCCACCTCCTCGGACATTCACCCCTCCTGACTCAACTTCCCTGCCTGCAGCCACAGCACCTATTTAGATCCTCTTGTGTTAACTTTTTGATCCTCTTGTTTTAACTTAACTGCTAAGCTTCAGCCCATGATTTGCCTAGACTTAATATAAATGTCATACACAGTCATAGCATGATAGTAATACTAATTAAAATAAGTTAAAACATGAATATAATGTAAACTATTCTTTTCTAACCTGTTCTCTTGACAGTTCACTAATGACTAAGCAGTAGTAATAACTCATAATAAGAATATAAAGTATTCATATATCGCAGGCATTGGTTAGTGTTTGCTTGGTTTACTCAGTTAATCTCCAAAATGACAATGTGAGGAAACCAAGGCATGAAGAAGTTAAATAACTTGTCCAGGATCCCATGGCTGGTGAGTGACAAGGCTGGGATTCCATCCAAGCAGTCTGGCTGCAGAGCCAAGGCTCTTAGCCATGACTAGGCTGCTATTGTAAGACACTCCCAGAATTATAAGGGTATTGTCTGAGAGTGACATTTGTTAATTTATGGATTAACTCCTGCCGATGGACAGTTAATATGAAAGTGGAAAAGGTATGCCTAAGAATCCTGGCAATCCCCCAAGTATAGTTAAGGACCCAGCAACAGAAAGTAACCAATAGGAAAGCATGTTATGAAGTAAGTAACTTAGCATTCAAGAAGACTGAAGAAAGACTTTTTAGAAGGATGCAGTTTGCAACAGAGGTTAAGGAAAAAAGGGAAGAACAAGAAATGGGTGGTGCTTAAGATCAGCAGGTGACTCACAAGTAGACTGTGCTGGACATTGTCTAAGGGCCTGCCCAGCTCCTGTCTCTGGATTTGGGTGTCACAGCTCATGCAGAGGAAGGGCACAATGTTCCAATCCACCTGCACACGGACTGCCCTCTGCTGTAAGCAAGAATATACACCTGAGCCTCTAGCTCCGTCTGTATCCCAGCCTGGTTCTGGACGTCCACATGACTGGTTCAAGAGGCCTCTGCAGCCCTCCTGGATACCAGCTCCATGCTGGTTAAATACCTCTCCGTATGGCCTATGGCCTTCCTCTTGAATGTCAACAGGAACACCATTTGGAAACAATCCACACCCTGCATTTCACTGTGGCTTAGGCACTGATCTCTGCCTTTATGAATCCATGTCTCTGAGTATCTCTTTAATTCTAAATCTGTTACTCCCTGTGGTCAGGGGAAGGATCCTCCTTTCTCAAATTACCTTCTTTACCTATTCTAACAAAGTGAAAAAGCTGTATCCGCTGGATAGTCCTTTCATAGACAGGGCAGTTTTCGTTTTAAGAAATCCCTTGGTAAGACTGTTAAAGTAGAAACTGGGATCTTAAGGGGTCCTAAATGTGGGTGAGACTGCTTTTTCTGCCCTAAGGCAAGAAATTCCTTGGGTGCCAGCAAGACAGGGGGTGCGTGGGGAGAGACAGGAGAGGTGAGCAGGATTGTGGAGGGCAGTACTGCACAGTGATAGAGCCTCCCAACAGCCACCTACATTGCAATGAAACAAATCACAAAGTGTTAGGATGTAAGTAGGTTTCTTTAAAAATTAGTTGGCGCCAGTTTACTATGTGGCAAACTTGAAACAGACTCAGGGGTGTGAAGGCACAGAGAAGCATGAGAGGGGAGGTAAGAGAGATTCTGGGGCATACAGGAATCACGCAAAGGATGCAGATATCATGGGTATGGGCTATGCTCAGCCCTCTTTCTGTCCAGTAAGGAATGGAAATGCTTTTAGATGCATTAGGTATTGACATTACTTTCTTTTTTTTTTTTTTTAGACAGTGTCTCACTCTGTCAC